TCAATATTTCAGTAAACTCAAGGCGGCCCTTTAAGAGCCTCGTCCAGTTAACAGAAAGCCCACTCTTCCAAGACAAACGAGGGGTTTACAGATACATCAGAGTCCCAGCGATAAGTCTCCCATCAGACACAGGCCCCAACAGAGAACAACGTAGAATGTGGCCACATAATCGCACATTCTTAGAGTTCTCTTGTAATTCGTCTGTATTATTGTGCTATGTGGTTAGAGGAAACTGAAAACTCACATGTTTGCCTCAAATGACTGATTTGCCAAGTGACAGGCAGCTCAGCCCCTCCTCCGGATGAGAGCTAGAATTGGAGTCAGGCATATAAACGTTGATACTGTCTTTCACACTTTCCTCCTCAAGCTTAGAGTTTCTTTGATTCTCTAAGTTCCTCTTATAGGCAACATTATGTCTGTTGTATACGCATGTAGAGGCCACTAATAGACACCTACTGTCTGCTGTGTCCTTCTCCACCTTGACAGCGTCTCTCACTGATTCACCTGACTCGCCACTCAGAAAGCCCCAGGGTTACAGGCATATGCTGCTGTGTCCAGCTGGTTTTGTTTTACGTGGATGCTGGGCATAGAACTCAGGTCTTCAGGCTTATAAAGCAAGCACTCTACTGACTGAAGCATCCCCCACCTAAAAAATAAAGTTTAGCCCACAGGATCGACCTTCTCAGGAAACATCGGTCATATCAGTCATTGTGTGGAGGCAGGGAGAAATGAGTGCCGACATGAAGTGAAGCCAGGTGCAGAGATCATGCCCTCGCCCACATGCAGACCTGTCAGATGTCCTACTAGTATCTCTGACATAGCCTCACTCTGTACACTGAGGGGACCGCAATGCTTCTGTAGCTGAACTCACAGGAATACCTTCCTTCCTATACTTATAGTACTAGAGAAAATGAGTTCCCAAGTCCCTTGACTTCCAGTTTCCAAAGTAAATATGCATCAGAACATTTGAGCCACGTGTAAACTCTAAAAGTTCACCGTGGGCTCTTCCTCATGACTTGAACCTTTTGTTGATAAAAAACAAACAATATGTTAAATATACAGAGATGATTACACTTAATAATGCTAATTGTCATAGAAAAAAAATTTTTTTAAAAAAATGTATTAACCTGAAAAAAATAGCCCTTTAAAAATCTAACAACTTTGCCAGGTGGTGGTGTTGCACTCAGGAGGCAGAAGTAGATGGGTCTCTGAGTTCAAGGCCAGCCTAGTCTATAGAGTGAGTTCCAGGACAGCCAGGGCTACACAGAGAAGCCCTAGATTGAAAAAAAAATAATCTAACAATTTTAAAAAAGTGATGCCCAGTCAAAATTCACTCATAATTGTCAAAGAATAAAACTTCAGCATGTAGAACTCTAAAATAACTCTAAAGCCATTTCTGACAACTCTTGAAGCCAATTTTGAGGCCTCTCAGCAGTAATGTTCCCCCTCCACTGGGAACCAAGGACATAACAGCTACACATGCACGTACTGAGATGTTGGGAACTTTCCATCTCCCTGAATAGGGGTAAGATAACCTTTACGTGTTGACTCAGTTCCTGGTGTTTTGACTCAGTCCCTGGGAAAGGAGCAAAGTGACCCTCAGATGTTCCCTCTTACCTCATCTCATCTGGCAACCGCTCTTCAGCCAATTATTGGTAATAGCCCTTTTGAATAAGCCAATCATAATGGTTAAGGAACAACCCTCAAACACTCCCCTTCTTTTTGTGGCTTTTTCTTTTAAAAATAGCCTGTACCAGCTATTTTGGGGTCTTTCTGACTCCTCGAATGCTGAAAGACCCTATCATGACAGAATTAATAAAATTCTCATGCTTTTACACCAACTGTGGTGTGAGAGATGGTCTCTTGGGGAGACTCCTCCTCGGCGCTTGGACTCTAGGATTCAACAAGCAAAGTTAGTTCAACATCTAGTTTGCTTTTATTCCAATTCATGAATGGGCATCATCCCATTGGTGGGGCACCCTGACGTTTGCCCATCTCTGAGACAGAGACCGCCGCATATGCTGAGCATCTATGACAGAGAGGCAGTCTAATGAGTTCAGCCAAGGAAGTTGTTTTAGGTAGAAATGGACCAAAGCAGCAGAAATAGGGACTAAAAGGCACACTGGTCATTTCAAAGAGACTTGCTTTTCTTACAGGGTCCCAGTAGACAGAACTGCCTTTTCAGGTATGACATTTGCTCACTGGACTCTCCGATTGGCTGCTGTGAATTTCCTGGCTTTTAGAAAACTGGCCTGGGGCTGGAGAGATGGTTCAGTGGTTAAGAGCATTGCCTGCTCTTCCAAAGGTCCTGAGTTCAATTCCCGGCAACCACATGGTGGCTCACAACCATCTGTAATGAGGTCTGGTGCCCTCTTCTGGCCTGCAGATATCGGCGAATCAATCCCACACCAGTTATGTTTTAAGGGGTTATTTATTTTGGGGGGTAAAACTTACATACACCATAAACCGTCAGGAAGGGAGCCTAGTCGCAGGAGCCGGGAGCAGGAGCCAGGAGCAAGCACCGGAACCAAGAGCCGGAACCAAGAGGGCCTGATCCAGATATGCTTCTCTTTTTAAAAGAGAAATATACCACGCCCCAGTGGGCTGGTATTTCAGCAGCTATTGGCTGACGGAGCGGAAGTCGCTCCCCGCTGCACTGTGGGCTCGTATTTCAGCGACTATTGGTTGAGGCAACAGAAGTTACTCCCACAACATGCAGACATACACACAGACAGAATATTGTATACATAATAAATAAATAAATAAATATTTTAAAAAAAAACTGGCCTGTGTTGAAGCTTAACTATGTGGCATGCTGCCATTCTGATCTGGCCTTCTAGAGCTTAATATAGGAGTTCAGTTCAATGCAACGGCCTCGCATAAATTTCATTTAACAGTATCAGCTGGGTGGTGGGGTGGCACACACCTTTAAGCACTCAGGAGGCAGAGGCAGGAGATCTCTGTTGAGTTCAAGGCCAACCTGGTCTACAGAGTGAGTTCTAGAACAGGCTCCAAAGTTACAGAGAAAATAAATAAAATGTATTTAACAGTATCTACAGCATGTGCAGCTGTCTGCCACAAGATGGGCAGCCCAGGGGAGGCTTACCAGCAATAAGTGTCTGCTAGGTCCATGACAGGAGCTGTTGCTATCAGACAACTGCCACATCCCAGGAGCAACAGTGACCTAAGGTATGTATGTTTGCTGTTATTATTGTTCACTGTTATGTGTAGTATGTATTGCACCATGTGTCTGCTAGAGCAGATAGAGATCAAAGGAGTCAGAGCCTCTGGAACTGGAGTTACAGGCAGCTGGGAGCCACCATGCGGGTGCTAGGAACCAATCCTGGAAGAGTAGTCAGTGCTCTTAACTGCTGAGCCATCTCTCCAGGCTCTTGTTTTTTTAATTTGTTACAGGATCTCACTACGTAGACTGGACTCAAACTAAAAAAACCTCCTGCCTCAGGCCTGAATGAATTTTTTTTTTTTGAGACAGGGTCTCTCTGTGTAGCCTTGGCTGTCATGGAACTCACTCTGTAGACCAGGCTGGCCTCGAACTCAGAGATCTACCTGCTTCTACTTCCTAAATGCTGGAATTAAAGGTGTGTGCCACCACTTCCCGGCCTTTTTTTCCCCTGTCAAATATGTTAAATAAGGGCTGGAGAAATGGCTCAGAGGTTAAGAGCAATGTCTGCTCTTCCAAAGGTCCTGAGTTCAATTCCTAGCAACCACATGGTGGCTCACAACCATCTGTAATGGGGTCTGGTGCCCTCTTCTGGCCTGCAGGCATACACACAGAGAGAATATTGTATACATAATAAATAAATAAATAATATGTTAAATAAGTGTTCTACCACCATGCTGTCCTAGTACTGTGCTAAATATCTTTGGACCATGTTGAACATTTCTGGGAAGGACAATATACCATGTAGCCATGGTCTGAACCTGGCTTTTGCTTGTTATTGTATAGTTTGCTTGCAGTGCTGTGGATCAAACTCAGAGCCTGTTTATGTACAGAAGTGCTCCCTGATAGCTACACCACATCCTAGGACCAAGGGTTTCAATTTCTTCTGTCTTGAGCAGAGAAGCAGTACCTTTGTGTTATGTTAATTCAGTTCAAGGGGTTGAACCTGGGGCACTGTGTACCAGGCACCCACTCTCCCACTTACATTTGAAGTCTGACTTATACACGCTGGCCTCTTGCAATCCCTCTACTTCAACCTCCAGAGCAACTGAGATTACAAGCCTATACCACATACCTAGCTACAGTACCCTTAACAGAGTGTCAATTCAAGTAGCTGAGGCTCCCAAATCTGAATGATTGCCCCTTCTAGGTTAGGAATAGGCTGGAGCTCAGAACCCAGTGGTCTGCCTCCCAGTGGGAACTAGGAAGTACATGTTTGATGCCTGAGGAATGAAGGACTTCTGGTAAGAGTTTTATACCACCTTGAAATACTACAAAGCAGGGCCTGGAGAGGTGGCTCAGTGGGCAAAGCACTTGCTATGAAGTGTGGCCCTGAGTTTGGAGACCCAGAACCCACGTAAAGCCAGGTGCAGTAGCATCTGGATGTAACCCACTGTAGGGTAATTCCAGCACTCTGAATGCAGAGACAGGGTGTCCCCAGAGCAAGCTGGGTAGCCAGACTAGCTGTACAGGTAAGCTCTGGGTTCAGTGAGAGATTCTGCCTCAAAGAAAAAGTGTGAAGCATTCAAGGAAGACTCCCAATGTCAACCTCAGGCTTATGTACATATGTACATGTAACCACATACATACATGTGTCCCCACACAAGCATGGGTACACACTCATGCACACCACACACATATACATATACATGTAAGAAAAGAGATTTGTAAAACAGACCAGGATATTTGGCACATGCATGTAGTCTCAGCTACTTTGCGGAAGGAGAAACTTCTAGGGTCTAAGAACTGCCTAAATAGCATAGCCAGAAGACATCTGAAAAGAGAATCCCAAAGCAGATAAATCCATCAGCACCCTGACCTGGTGATGACTTCATGGAAGTTCATTTTGCTATCTCTTTCTTTTCCCAAGGCGTCCAGGAGACTCTGGAATGACCCAGACTCTTGCATCTCCTTCAAGGCATTTGCGATCACGTCACTGAAGTACTGCCTGCGAAGGGGGACAAACCAAAGCTCCTAAGACACTGTCCCACCTTCATAAGGAGTTGCAGAAGTGACAGCAGTTAAAAGCTGGAAGGAGCACCACAGACCAAGGCCATCCTGAACCCCTAGACTACACAGCAGCTTCGGGACCAGCCTAGTTTACAGAGACCTTGTCCCAGAAAAGAAACAGGGGCTTGGGAGATGGCTCAATAGATAAAGTGCTTGCTATACAAGTGACAAGACCAAAATTCAGATCCCCAGAACCCATATAAATGCAGGGTGTGCTGGTAGCCTGCTGGTAATTATAGAATCTGCAAGTGGGGAGGAGATGGGGTCCCTCTGGAGCGAGCTAGCTACATAGTCAGACTTGTAGGTTTGATGAAGGTGGCCTCAGTGGAGAAGGTAGGGAAGTGAGTGGAGAGAACATCAATCTCAGGCCTTCATATACACACGCACATGTGTACATGTACCCACACATGTCTACACATGCAAAAATGCTTATATATCTGCACATCACACATTAAAAAAGAAAACTAAAAAGTTGGCTTGTCCCTGTCACCGCCTGAGCTGTTTCTGCTGCTCCCCAGGGACAGCGCTTCTGCAGCTTCTTGTTGCAGAGCGCAGCTGTTCCAGCAGAGACGCCTGATGGCTGAGTGCTTAGCCCTAAGTGGGGCATCTCTGCCCCTCCTTCCCATCTGGGGGCGGATATGAGAGCAGAGAAGGGGTCAGTGTTGTGGGGTGCTGGCCTCCAGCCATGGCACAACCTTTGCACTCTGGACCTCTCAGCAGCTGGGACCAAGATGAGACCCACCCAACATAAGGTCACAGAGTGGAGAGGACAAGGAGCTAGGCAGTGAAATCTCATCTGAGGAGAGGGAGACATTTTCTTCCATGGGATAGCCATTGGGGAGGTCCTCTCTCAGGTAATCACCCCTAATTAGACACAGGTCTCAGAAAGAAGAAAGGAAACCCATGAGGAGAGAACTGGGAGCTGGCTAGGAAGAGGAGGCATGGGAGGGAGTCGAGAGCCAGTGAAGGGGATGAAAGTGAAGGAACTACATTTTACATGCATGGATGTAAAATTAAGCTATGCTAATAAATCCTGTTAAAACAAGCATGCTGAGTTACAGTGCACACCTGTAATCCTGGCACTTGGAAGGTATAAGCAAGACAGTGTGCAGGTCAAGGTCACCTCAGCTATGTGGTAAGGTTGAGGCCAGCCTGGGCTACACAAGATTTTGTTTTTAAAAAAAGGAAAGAGAAAGAAAGAAGAAAAGCAAGCAAACATTTGGTGATTCCACACAGAATTATCATTTCATTATATACTTCTGCATTTAAGAAGTAACCCACAATTTTGAAAATTTTTAATTATTAGTTTTCTTTCTTTCCTTTTTTTTGTTTTTTTTTTTTTAGGAAACCAAAAGCTAACTGGGCATAGTGGCACATGGCTTTAATCCAGCATTAGGAAGGCAAAGACAATCTCTGTGAGTTCAAGGACAGCTCCAGGACAGTCAGAGATACATAGTGAGACCCTGTCTTGAAAACAAATAATAAAAAAAAAGAAGAAAAAAGTTTCTAGTATCACAAACTAGGAAAAGGAAAAGATACTATTTAAAGTTATAAACTAAAATAGGATGTGGTAGTGCAGACTTGCAGCCCAGTACTTAGGAGACAGAGCAAGAGCCCCAGAAGTTTGAGGCCAGCCTGGTCTACACAGTGAGCTCAAATCACTTGGGACTAGAGACTCTGAGAAAGAAAGAACGGGAAGCGAGGAAGGAAAGGAAGGGAGGAGGGAAAAGAAATAAAAGGAAAGGGGGAAGAGAGAAAGGGGAGTTGGGAAGAAAGGAAGAAACAAAGGCTCATTAACTTGTCCAGGATAATACCACACCATGGGTTTTTGTGTGTGTGTGTGTGTGTATGTGTGTGTGTGTGTGTGTGTGTGTGTGGGGGGGGGGGAGTTGTTTAGTTGCTTGTTTTTTTGTTCTGTTTTTTTCAAGGCAGGGTTTCCCTGTGTAACAGCCCTGGCTATTCTGGAACTCACTTTGTAGACCAGGCTGGCCTTAAACTCAGAGATCTGCCTGCCTCTGGAGTGCTGGGATTAAAGGGGTGCAGTACCATCTTCCAGCCAGCTTTTTCTTTTTTGAGACAGCGTTTCTCTGCATAGTCATGGCTGTCCTGGAACTCACTTTGTAGAGCAGGTTGGCCATGTTTTAAACTGCACCACTCTACTTCTAGGGGACTGTCAGCTAAACCTATTATCAGTGGTCACTGAACACAATACAAACCACAGAGGCAGGCACCCCTTCCCTCTTACCTGTCGTTCTGAATTTTCTTCAGTATCTCCAGAGTCATCATGGTCTGCCGTGTAGGTTTTTTTAAGATAAAATCCTGGCCTCGGTGTTTGGTTTCTGGCACCATGAACTTTTCATTAGTTAACAAAGCAGATGTTTCCCTTGTACTGGCGACCATGGATGTTCTTTCATGGCTGGATTTCTGAAAAATGAATGATGTTAAAGATACTGTTTTCAGGACCGTAGAGGCGGCTCAGTAGTTAAGAATACTTGTTCTTGCGGCACCCACATGGTGGCTCACAACCATCTTCAACTCCAGCTCCAGAGGATCCACACACCCTCTCTGAACCTCTCTGGGTGTACATGATGCACAGACATACATGCACACAAAACATTCATACACATAAAAAATTAAATAAATCTTAAAAAGAAACTTTAAAGAATGATTGTTTTAAAGTGAGAGACAACACTCTGAGGACTGCTATCTATTTTCAACCATTTTTTCTGCTTACATTCCATACTCCAAGAAAACAGACCCTTTCCTCAGCCCCATCAACCACACATCCTGCTGTTTCTTGTCTTCCTGCCTTCATACATTCTCTCAGCCCCTACCTTACCCCCGGTAAACTGTAAGACAAAGATCAAAGGTAATGCTTGGGGCTGAGGGTGTAGGCCCATGGGAGAACATGTCTTTAACATGTGAAAGGCACTAGGTCCAACCCCAGCGTCACAAAAGGTAAAAGAGTTGTAGTATGATGCTTCCGGCTTCAACCCAGGCCCCTCGGAGGTGGAAGATGGAGGTCAGGGGTTCAGGCCACACCTGGTAGGATGTTAAGTTTCAGGCCAGCTTGGGCTAAGGGAGACCATGCTCAAAACTACAAAGCGAAAACCCAAAAATAATGAAAAAAAATCAAATAAACAAAACCCCACATTGGTTTGTGAGTTTACCGTAATTATAAAATACCAAAACGAGATCATGGTTCTATGATAGGAGAGGCAGGGTCTTAGAGGCACCAGTTCACTTCAAATTCTTTCTTTTATTTCTTCCTCCTTTCTTTTTCTCCTTTTCTTTCTGTACTGGGGATGGGACATGGGGCTTTGTACATGGGCATATCAGACTCAGCTAATTCCTACTTCGTAATTTTCTTTCATCTCAAATTCTCTCCAGAATCAGGTTAGATATAAATATGGTTATCTTTAGGCATTGCTACAGGATACATCAGACAATGTTCACAAGCACATGGATCTGAAATACACAGACAGCACGGGGGCATGCCCTTGTGCTCATGGGTACTAGGCAGGCTGAATGGAGTCATGAGAGAATTTTAGTCCGATGCTAGCCTGGACGACACAGTGAGAACAAAACAGCTAAAACTATACAAAATAAAAGGAGAATTGTACTAGCAAGTGTAGCCCGACTAATAAACACCCAGAGACAGATACTGAGGTTCAACCTGAAGAGCAGAAAAGCAAAGCCGCCAACCACGAGAGAGCTCTGACCTCTAAGACATCCTCAGGCTGAAAGAGAGCAAGCTCCTGTCTCATCCTGGTTTATATTCCTCTCTAGTGCTGGGATTAATGGTGTGAGTCACCACCACCTGGATCTGTTTTCACACTGAAGTTGTGTAGCCCAGGGTGGCCTTGAACTCACAGAGATCAAGAGATCATCCTCTCTCTCCCAAATCCTGGGATTAAAGCTGTGTGACACCACTGCCTGGCCTCTCGTGGCTTAGTTTTACTTGATGGTCTTCAGGCAAGCTTTATTTATAAAACATAAATAAAATATCAATATATTAAGTGAAAGTAATATCAGATTTAGTTTAGATTTTGTGGATTTTATAGGAAAAGTCAGAGAATTTTTCACACCTAAATTCAATACTGAGGAACCACAAGACAGCATGTGTCTCCCGGTTGATGATTTCACCTGTGGCTAATGTCTGGGCTGCTGACAGTGATTACACTTTTGGACCATAAGCCAGCTTCAATGTCTGAATCCTGGCTCTGTCTTTTACTAACCATATTGACCTTAGGTAACTACTTAAAATTTCTGTGCCTCTACGTTTCCATTAGGTTAATATTTTAGAAATTGTACAAGGAGGAGTCATGGAAATGTAAGAGAAAACGCTTTTTCTTTCTTTCCCAACCCTAATTCTCTTGTCCCAAGCTCCCAAACTCCCTTCTCCCTCATTGTGGTCCTCTCTGCTCTCATGTCCTGGGTGAGTGTATATGTATACATAAATTGAGAGACTACATGCACCTGCACACAAATGCATGCATTCACATACGCACACATATATGCACACACAAAATTCAAAAAGTGAATCATTTTAAGGAAAAGACATCACAAGGAGGACTCCTATTATGCCAGAAAATCTTGTAGTGAAAGATCACTATCATAAACCAGAATCCCACAGGGCAAAGTTTCATTGTTTATTTCTCAGAGCAATGACCTCACTGAACTCTACCAGCCTAAGATTTTCATTGAGTTTTTATGATAGTAAACTACTCTTAAAGACAGGCACGGTACTGTAGCCCAGGCTGGCCTTGAACTCTCCTGAACTCAAGGTTATTCTGCTTCTACCTCTCAAATTCTTGGATTATAAGCATGACCCAGTTGGCCTGTTTTAAAACTTCTGAGCTTTAGGGGCTGGAGAAATTGTTGGAGGAAGAGCCACTTGTTGGTTCCCAGCTGCTCAGCCCCAAAATAGTCACACAGAAACTGTATTAATTAAATCACTGCTTGGCCCTTCTTATTTGCTAACTCTTACATCTTAATTGAACCCATCTCCTTTAATCTGTGCATCACCACAAGGTTGTGATCTACCAAGTCAAGTTTTAGTGGGTTTGTTTCTGGTGGCAGCTCCATGGCTTCTCCGTCTGACTCTGCCTTCTTCCTCCTAGCTCTGTTCTCCTATCAGGCCAAGCCAGTTTTCTTTATTCCTTAATGGTAATCGCGCATGCAGAGAGAATCCCACATTGCCGATTCCCAGCACCCATGGACAAAACAAAGACCCAGATGTAGTTATTCATACTTGTAATCCCAGGAAAAGAGAAAGAGGATCATGGGAGCTGGCTGGTAGCTAGTCTAGCCAAATGAGTGAGCTCTAGGTTCAGCAAAAGCCCCTGCTTCAAAAACTAAGACCTTTAGTTTCCACATGTGGTTGTGTGTGCACACGCACAAGCATGCATGCACGCACACACACAGAGACACAGACATACAGGCACATGGACATAGACACTAACACACAGACACACAAAATGAGGGCTAGAGAGATGGGTGATTTACAGTTCAGAGCATAAGTTGCTCTTGCAGATGAACTGAATTTGCTCCAAAGCATCCAAGCCACATGGTACCCTACACTCACATGCACACATACCCCACACACAATTAAAAATCTTTAAGGAATAAAAACTGTAAAGGGTAATTAGAGGGAAATTTAGTTTTCTTCTCTTTGTATGAACTTCTCTGTTAGTCATGAAAAGCAATTTGCTCTCTCTCCAATATAGTAGATTTTACTAGTCTTAGGATCAGAAATAATATACTCTGTACACAGTTTTTTGTTTTTTTTTTTTTTTAATGTAGCCCTTGTTGTCCTGGAACTTGCTCTGTAGACCAGTCTGTCAGTCTGTTCTTGAACGCAGAGATCCATCTGCCTAACTCTGCCTTCCAAGAGCTGGGATCAAAGGCATGAATCACCACCAATTTTGTTTGCTTCTTTTTTCCAGACAAGGTTTCTCTGTGTAACAGCCCTGGCTGCCCTGGAACTCACTTTATAGACCAAGCTGGCCTCAAATTCACAGATTCCTGCCTGCCTCTACCTTCTGAGTTCTGAGACTAAAGGCATGCACCACACTCCTGGCTACCTGGCAAATTTTTAAAAATTAGTTTATTTATGATTTTCATTTTTTATCTACAACCTATGTCACTGACAATTTAAAAGACTTTATTCCCTGTCAAGTTAGGTTTCTGTTGTTGTTTCTTTTATGATAAGGAAATCTCACTATGTAGTCCTGGCAAGTCTAAAGATTAGGCTGGCCTCAAATTCAGACACCTGCCTGTTTTTGCCTCCCAAGTGCTGGATTAAAGACATGCACCATCACTACCTTGCAAAAATGTATTTTTTAAAATTACATTTATGAGCTGGACAGTGGTGGCACATGCCTTTAATCCCAGTACTCAGGAGGCACAGGCAGATGGATCTCTGTGAGTTTGAGGCTAGCCTGGTCTTCAAGAGCTAGTTCCAGGACAGCTAGAACTGTTAACACAGAGAAACTCTGTCTTAAAAAAATAAAAATTAAAAAAATTACATTTATTTTCTGTTTGGAGTAGGGCAGGCATAAGACCAGAGTGGGATGGAAAGCCAGGTGACAATTCACGGAAATCAGCTCTTCCTTCCAACCATGAGTCCCAGGGCTCAAACTCAGGTTGGTAATCATGCCAGGTACCTTTACTCACTGAGCCTCTCAGCAGCCTGGCCTGGAACTCACTCTGTAGAGCAGGCTGCCCTCAAACTCCCTGCAATCTTGTCTCTGCATTGTCAGATTACAGACAGGAGCTCAATGGGGCCTGGAAGTCCAAGTCACCATTGAAAATAAAACGACCAATGGATGTGGGATGTCCTTCTGTATATCTGTTACTTTACTGGTAGATCAATAAAGCTGTTTTGGCCAGTGGCTTAGCAGAGTAAAGCCAGGAGGGGAATCCAAACAGAGATATAGAGAGAGGAAATGGAATCGAGGAGATGCTATGTAACTGCCGAAGGAAAAAGACTCACAGAACCTTACCCGGTAAGCAAGAGCCTTGTGGTGTTATGTAAATTAATTGAAATGGGTTAATTTAAGATGTAAAAGCTAGGGGCTGGAGAGATGGCTCAGAGGTTAAGAGCACTGGCTGCTCTTCCAAAGGTCCTGAGTTCAATTCCTAGCAACCACATGGTGGCTCACAACCATCTGTAATGAGATCTGGTGCCCTCTTCTGACCTGCAGACATCCATGCAGACAGAATACTATATACATAATAAATAAATAAATCTTTAAAAAAAGATATAAAAGCTAACTAGGAATACGCTTGAGCCATTGGCCAAACAGTGTTGTAATTAATATAGTTTCTCTGTAATTACTCTGGTCTGGGCAGTTGGGAAACAGTCTGTTTACAACTGACATGGTAATGTGCCCAGATATTTGCAAAAAATCAGGTTGCAACATATTCAGCAACAAGAGAGTTATTTTTAATTAAAGCATTGTTGATATGATCCAGATGTATTTCCTCCCCCTAGTATCCAGTTGACTTTTAGGAACCAAGATAACAGGGACATATGATCTAAGAAAACTTAAATGGTGATCTCAGTATACGCACAGTGGCCCAACAACATCCATAGGGTAGGTTCGGGGCACCTCTGGATTCTCAAGTCCCTTAAATAAAGCTGGTTCAACGTTAGCATATGATCTATGCAAATACTCTGTTTTAAATAGACTCTAGATGACTTCTAGTGGTGAATACAACATACAACAGTTGTTATAGTGAATTCTTTAGGAAAAGTGACAAACGGGAAAGATCAAACTTTTTTCAAATTTTTTTTTTTTTTTTTAAGTCAGAGGCTGGTTGAATTCAGATATCCAGAGTCTGTGTACACTGAAGGCTGCCTGTGTTGTGTTTACACGGACTTAGCTTTGGGCTCTTGGACAGAAGCTTTGCAGAAGCATACTGCGTTTTCCATTTTGACATAGACCTCAAACAACTGGGATCCGGCCTGTTATCTGACGTAAAGGTGCTGCTTCTCAAGCTACGTTTAATGCTACAAGCAGTACAAACAACGGAGAGGTCAAAAGGAAAGGAGACAAGGCAGCACAGAGGCCAGGGTGCTGACCTGGTGGACGCTCTGCTTTCTTTCGTACTGGACGGGAATGATGTAGCCCAGGATAGAGAGCTGGTCGATGACGTCCTCCATAATTGCAGACACCCTCAGTACGTCCAGAAGGGACAGTGAATCTATGACTTCCGAGGAGGTTTCCTCCTCTTCCTCATTATCTAGCTCTTCCTCGATGGCACCAGGCGGCTCTCCCGTCACCACCATGGTCACCTCAGTGTGCAAAGCTTCTGAAGGGAAGTCCAAGGCTTCCAACTGGTCCCTAGGCCAGGAGAACAGGAAGATGAAGCCATTACCTCCAACACGGGCAGCAAGCCGATTGATGCCTGTGAGGTGCACTGTCGTGTACCATAGCCTCTAGGAAAACAAGGGTGGGTGTTGCAGGGGATTCTGCCAAAGGCCCTCTAGTAGGGCTGACCAAAGACAATGACTGCCTGGTAAATCCATGCAGCCTATGCTGTTTGGCTAAGCTAATGCAATTTGAATTTGAACCACAATTGAAAGTAATGTATTTAGATGCTAATCAAAAGTGCCTTGTCATTACTAAAAGACAGAATACGGTAGCCAGCCTCCGAGGTGGTCCAAACAAGTCTTTCTGGCCTTTCTGCCTGTGGGTGTGTGCGTGTGTGTGTGTGTGTGTGTGTGTGTGTGTGTGTGTGTGCGCGTGTGTGGTTTTCCCTACATTGAGCAGATGAAACTATGAGGGGCTGGTGGGCGAAGAGCGTGATTTTCAGAGCATGGCAGGCAGCTGCCCTCACACCAAGGCTCACTCCCAGGGAAGCCGGGTGTCTGTCACAGGGACACTTATGCTACCCCTGGCCAACTTTAACCTTCTAGTTAATATTGTTAATCCAATCAACTTGACTGGATTCTAGACTCACCAGAGAAACCTCCAGACATGGCTGTGGAGGATTTTCTAGGACAGGGTTACTTGAAATGGGAAGACTCACCTTACATGGACTGAATGGGGGCTAGAGAGATGGCTCAGTGGCTAAGAGTACTGACTGCTCTTCCAGAGAACCCCAGTTCAATTCCCAGCACCCACATGGCAGCTCACACCTGTCTGTAATCTGTAATTCCAGTTCCAGGGGACCTAATACCCATGGCAAACACCAATGTCTATAAAATAGTTTTTTTAATGGACTGAATAAAAAGGAGAACTAGAACTGAGTCTCAGCATTCCCCGCCCGCCCCCGCCCCCACCGTAGATGCAATGGAACCAGTCCCCTCTGCTCCTGATGCCATGCCTTCCCCTCCGTTATAGACTCTCCCCACAAAGTGTGAGCCAAAGCAAAACTTTAGATTCCTTCCCTTAAACTGCTTCTTGCCCAACATTTGTTCCAGCAACGAGAGGACTAAGTAGCATAGACCCCAGGTCAGAGCCATTTGCTAAGCTGTTCCTGAACTCCTGACCTGCCAGGACTCTGAAATGGTAGACCTTAATATTTTAGGTCATTAAATTTGGGGGCAGTTTGTTCCAGGCTTTTTCTTTTAGCCTACCAACCAGCTCCCAAATCATGACGCAAACTTATTACTGGTTATGACTGCTCAGCCTAGCTTAGGCTCATTTCTGGTTAGTTCTTTTAAATTAATCTATTCCTCTTCATCTATGTTTTGTCTCTGGGCATTTTACCTTTCTTCCTTCTGTATATCTTTCACTGTATCTCCTGGCTCTCTAGCAGCTGCCTGGCTTCTGGCCTCTCTTTCTCCCCCATTCTCCTCTTTCCTCTTCTCTTGTTCTCTCTAGAGCCTAGATTTCTCCTCCTTATTCTCTCTCCCTGCCAACCCACGTATCCTTTCTCTGCCTAGCTATTGACTGTTGAGCTCTTTATTAGACCAATCAGGGGCCTTAGGCAGGCAAGGGGAAACAAATGCAATACATCTTCACATCCTTAAACAAATGCAGCATAAACAAAAGGAACACACCTCTGCATAGTTAAAGTCATATTCCTCAGGATAAACAAATGCAACACATCTTTGCCTTGTTAAAGTAATATTCCACAACAGCAGTTTGTTACATAGCAACAGATAACCTATAGAAATCAATTGTTACATATAATGTAATACTATATGTACGAACAAACTGGAATTTTGAACATACCCCTCCATTCTTCCTGAGTTAGTTCTGCTGCCCTCACAGGTAGATTTATAATTTCACAAGAATGCAGTAACCTGAAATGGGAAAGAAATGCTATTGGTTCAAGGGAATACTGAATCCTGTTCTCTTTATTCCTATGCCTTTTTACTAGGAGAAAAACAATCACAGAATTACAAGAGCTGTGGTTTGTCTCCTCCTTAGTAGAGCAGACGCACAGAATGCGGGCATATTACTGGTACGCCAAAACAGAAGGTATGTGCAATGCAGGCTTTTGCCTCTTCCTCAGGTAACTTAAAGACGATTTTAGCATGTGTCATTGTATTCTGATTTTGAATTGGACATCACTATAGAACAGATTTATTTTTGTTATTATTTACTTTTTTGTATAATTCCCTCCTCTATATTGAATTAAATGAATCTACCCTGTTAGAATTTATTGTGCCTTGACTTAGAAAAATTGAGATTATATTAGAAAAAAAACTGTATTTATTTTTAAAGAATAATTAACTTTTCTATTCATTGGTATTTTGCCTGCATTTATGTCTGTGTGAGGGTGTCAGATGCCCCTGGAACCAGAGATACAGTTGTGAGCTTCCATGTGGTTGCTGGGAATTGAACCTGGGTCCTTTTGAAGGGCAGCCAGTGCTCTTAACCTCTGAGCCATCTCTCCAGCCTCAGAAAAATTGTATTAATTCTGAAAATCAGTTTAATAAGTTATCCTTTGGAGCTAGGCATAGTAGCAAAAGTCTGTAATCCCAATACTTGGAAAGTGGAGGGGGGAGAATCAGGAGTTCAAGGCCATTCCTGGCTTAATATAGGGAATTTGGGGCCAGCCCAAGATGTATGAGACATTGTCTTTACTGTTAATTTTTTTTAATTATGTCTGTGTGCTGGTTCATCCCTATGTGCACAATGTACACACAGGAGACCAGAATATTCCCTAGAACTGAAGTTACAGCTGTGAGACTCATGATATAGATGCTGTGAATCGAACCCAAGACCTCTCTCAAAAGCAATATGTGCTCTTGACCATTGAGCCATCTCTCCAGCCTCATCCCTTTAAAAAGAATCTTCAAGTGAACCCAGCTCCCGGGAGTCTAAGGCTCTTCTCACCACTGAAAGCACCTTGACATACACATGTATGCATAAACAGACTTTTGGTTGCCAAGCCTGCACGGCCTGGAACCGAAACCAAGCGAAGGATGTCAGTATTGAACACGCATACACCTCTCAAGCTGCTGGTAGAAGAAGCCCTTTGTTGAACAGCACCTTGGAGGTTTTATACCTAACACAGCCAGGTGGGTCAACAGGTGAAGACCTTGCCACCTGATCCTCAGTCAAGGCCAGGGCAAGGCGTGCTCAGGAAGCAAGGTTGGTAAACAACTTTGACACAGCTCTCAGAAGCTCAAATCAAAAGGGCAAGGAAAGGTCACTAGCAGGGAGGAGCAACTGGAGGCCAGGACTCCAAATGGTCCCAACATTTGGTTTTGTTTTATTTTTTGAGACAGGGTTTTCTGTGTAGCTCTGGTTATCCTGTAACTGGCTACCTGTAGAACACATTGGCCTTGAACTCACAGAGATCTGCCTGCCTCTGCCTCTCGAATCCTAGGTCCAATGGTCTGTCCTGTCCCTTTAGGAGACAAGCCCCGCCTAGGCAAGCTCTTTCTTTTCCATCTCTCTCCTGAAGAGGTAACTGCAGCTGTGCACCCTCCCCATTCTCTTTCTCTCTCTGCCTCTTTGTCCTCCTTCTCCCTCCCTCTCCTCTATCCCCTTCCCTTCCATAACCTACTAAATAAAAATCCAACCTCACTCTGTATGGCTTATCTGTCTCTGTCTCTCACCCACCTGCGTGGCTCTCTACCTGGGACCTACTGGGTACCCCCTAGGTGAACTGTAGCGTTTTATCTAAAGCATAACTCTCCCGTCTATATCTTTTTTTTTCTGTCTGCTTGTTGTCTTGTGGTTTTATTTTTATTTTATTTATTTATTTATTTATTTATTTATTTATTTATTTATTTTGTGGGAGGGCAGGAGTGAGAAGGAGGGTCTTACTTTGTAGCCCAGGATATCATTGTACACATTATGTACCTCTGACTGGCCTGAAACACAAAGCGATCTTCATACTTCAGCCTTCCAAGTGCAGGAATTACAGACACAAGAGTCAGCGTGCTCAGTTTGCTCCTCCATGTAGGCTGCAAGAGGGAGAAGTGTTTACTGCAGTGCCTCAAGCCTACATCGCTCTCCACAGTGACAGTCATGCAGTGAATTACTTGCTGAATTCATGAATGAGCCCATCAGTCAGCCCCAATTAATGCACAGTCGTTAGGAAATGTGAATCCGAGTCTACTAAATTCATCCTCACCCGACAAGTAAGCAAAGAACGGAAGAGTGAAAATATCTATCTCTCACTTTGTCCGCTCCCTCTCCCCTCTTTAAGAAGGGGTCTCACATAGCTGAGGCCGATATGCAGTCCCGAAGTAGCTGTCGATGGCTTTTGAACTTCTATTCTCCTGCTTAGGCATCCAGAATACTGGAATTACAAGCAAGCGCCGCGCGCGACCCGTGGTTTGGGGTAGTTTAAAATGGAACCTTGCTATCTAACTCAGCCTGGCCTCGAATTTGTGACGGGATCCTCCTACCTGAGCCTCCCGAGTGAGTGCTGAGATCAACTGGAAATGGTTACCATGCCCTGTTTGCTCTTATATTTTTGGTTAAGCCTAGCCTTTAACGGCAGAGCCATCTCTGCAGCCTATCTGTTCGCTTCTTGAAAGATAAAGTTTAGATGGGAGATAAGAAAAGAGCAAAGAAAAGGGAGCGTTTCCCCTGCCTTCAGCTCCAGATTTTTCTTTCCTCTATGATAGGATCCCAGTCTTCATTCTGGGAAGAGGGGGAAAAAACCCAAAAAAAACAAAACCCCAATGCTTTTCCTCACCTTTCTACCAGCCCGGCAGGAGGCGGGACCTAAACTAAGGCGTAGCTATGGCAACGCGCAGACCTCCCCGCCCCCATTTGGTAGGCCCTTTGCCCTTTTTCTTAGTCGACTACAACTTTGCCTTTTTTTAAATTTTTATTTAATTTAATTTAATTTTTAAACACGTATTAACGTGTTGCCAATTACTAACATGAAAGAACAGGAAAAAGGTGTAAGGCCCTGAACGCAGCTTGGCCGAGTCGAGCCTCTCCCTGACCCCGGCTCTCCGGCGGAGCGCAAGCGGCCTAAGCGCTGAGAGGGGCGGGGCGAGTCTCCCACAAGGCCGCACGGCGGGCCTTGCCTTCCTCTTTCGGCCATCTTGGCGCCTGTAGAGGTGAGGGCCGTTCGTGCAGCTGAGCTTTGGGGGCCGCTTTCTGGGGTGGGTTCATCCCCATCGCTCACCGAGACGGCCCTGCATCTCGGAGACCCTGCCCGCCATCGATTTCTGGGGCTTCCAGGGAGAGGGAGGGCGGGATGGAGGAGATGAGGGGCTGATGGTGCTGGGGAGGAGAGTTGGCCGGTCCCGCTTGGTCCTCGGCGAGGAGTGAGCGAGTTTGTTTCTCCCGTCCTGGTTTACCGGGACCCGGGGTCCTGGAGGCTGCTGGGCCTGGAGCTGCTCGCCCCGCTCGGCGGGCTTTGCGTGGCTGCCCTGTGCGCTCGGCGGAGTTTCTAGAATTTAGGTCTTCAGCCAGTCTTCCCCACACGTAGCATTTGCCCACGATTCGGAGTCGGAAGTTGTCTTTCATTCTCAGAAGTTCGCATAGTTTGCCAGGCTCTGCTGTGGATGGGTGGCCGAGTTGAGGTCCCAGTACTTGGAGTGCTCCTGGGTTCATCCTGCGTGCTCGGGATCAGGAGGTGGGAACGGGCTCCGTGGCTCTAATGTGAGATCCTGTTTGCTTTCAGGCCTGCTGGGAACAGGACTTCTAGAAGACACTATGTCTGGAAGGTATGCGACTCAGTATAGTTGGTTTTCCCTTTTTTTTTTTAACCTTAAAATTTAAAATAATGCGGGAGGGGAAGAAGACATTTGCTGTAGAGAGCTTGAGTCGGGGTTACTTCAAACAAGTTGTGGCGGTTTGCTAAAGTTAAATGGAAAGATGGAACGTTTATTGATAATACTCTCCTTGTGTGTCCCAGGCTGTGGTGCAAGGCCACGTTTGCTGGCTATAAGCGAGGTCTTCGGAACCAGAGAGAGCACACGGCTCTTCTTAAAATTGAAGGCGTTTATGCCCGAGATGAAACTGAATTCTATTTGGGCAAGAGATGCGCTTACGTGTATAAAGCAAAAAAGTAAGTGTTTTGATGACTTCGTTTCTTACTGATAAAGTAGAAGTGTAGTGGCAATTTGACGCTGTTGTTGATTTTGCTTAGAGGCAGGCCATGAAGAACAGGAAGTCAAGAAGAACCTTTTGGCCGCTGGTATTGGATATAGGCAACATCGGCTCTTAGAAAAATGATAGTTGTAGGAAGGCCCTGGGTTCAGTCTCTAACATGGTTAAAGATGACAGCTGTTACACCTTTCATTTTCCTCTGAATACTTTTAAGTGTATCTTGATTCGTATTCATCCCTCGGGGTATTTTGTGGGTTTTAAGTGTGTTTTAAAATGGATACTGCATGGGTTCTCTTGTTCTCTTTTCCTACTTGGAAGTGAACAGAAGGCCTCAGTGGTGTGCGCCTTTAATCCCAGCACTTGGGAGGCAGAGTTGCCTTTAAGTTTCATTTCGTTTAGTTATACTCAGCCCTCTGATAACCCGTGCATCCAAGCCTCCCACTTTTTTCTTTTATCCCAAGTAGGCTTCATCCCTGTGTCTTTCCAAACATTTCATATATTTAGCACATGCAGTCTTTAGTGGTTATGATCTTGGGAAAATTGTTTGGTATGTATGAACTGTCGAATGAATATTTTATACAGTTTTATTTTATACAATTTCTCAAGGAATTGTGTGTGGAAATCTTGAGAAAGCCTGGGGTTCCTAGGAAATAAGTGAGCTTGTGTCAGATTGTATTGGTGTTGAGCTCTCATGCTTCATGTCTCCTGTAACCAGCAACACAGTGACACCTGGAGGCAAACCAAACAAAACCAGAGTGATCTGGGGGAAAGTCACTCGGGCCCATGGGAACAGTGGCATGGTCCGTGCCAAATTCCGAAGCAACCTTCCTGCGAAGGCCATTGGACACAGAATCCGTGTGGTGAGTACGGATAAAATAAATGGATTTTTAAAAAATGCCTTTTGATGCCTCAGAGTCAGTTTGAAGGGTGAACCTTATACCTATCACTAAAGATTTTTGTGAGAGTAAAACTTGTGTGAATTGTCACTTCAGTGAAAAGTTACAGAACATCTGATTGTTGGTAAAGCAGAGTGAAAGCGGTTGCTCAAATGAATTACATGAGTCTGATTTTGCTGAAGCTAGCTGACAGGAGGGATATTTTGGGCAGGTTTATGGTCGTGTCTTTGAGACAGGTCTCACTGTGGCTCTGGTTGGCCTGGCACTTGTTATATAAAAAGGTTAATTTTTTTTTTTAAATTTTAAGACAAGGTCTAATTGAGTAGGCTGGTCTTGAAATGCACCCTAGCCCAGGCAGGCCTTACACTTAAAAGCCTTCCTGCCTCAGCCTCCCAAGTCCATGGGATTTCAGGTCATTGCTATCAGGCTCCTCTTGTGTCATACATGGGGGGTGGAGGGATGCTTGCGGCTTACCATGTCTGTCATGTCAGTTCTGGCAAAATGTGTGGAAAGCATTGCTCATTCTAGGTCTCGGGTTTAAGATTTATTTAGCCAGATGTGATAGTGCACACCTTTAATCCCAGAGGCAGAGAGAGGCAGGCCAATCTCTGAGTAAGTTTCAGGACAACCAGGCCTGTTACAGAGAAAAACCCTGTCTCAACAAAACCAAAAAAGAAAGCTGGGTCGTGGTGGTGCACGCCTTGAATCCCAGCACTTCTGAGGCAGAGGCAGACAAATTTCTGAGTTCGAGGCCAGCCTGGTCTATAGAACTAGTTCTAGGACAGCTTCTGTTAACGCAGAAAAACCCTGTCTAGAAAAACAAAAGATTTTTATCAATTGTTCCTATTTTAGTTAGGGTCCATTTGTAGTACACTATAATGGTGGCAATGTTAGACTTAGTGCCACCATACCTTACGTCAATACTTAAATTTTGGGGCTATTATTTTACATTTATGTTTGTGGGGGGCTATGTAGTATGTGAAGGTCAAAGGATAATTTTTGGGGGAGTCAGCTCTTCCACTTGGCAGTTCCAAGAAATGGAGCTCACACGGCCAGGCTTGGTGTCGAGTGCTGTACCTGCTGAACCATCTCACCATCCCTTGAGAATTTTATTACAACTTTGAATGCTGTTTTGGGGGCTGGGGATGATAGCTCAGTTCAGAAGCCTGATTTAACACCTTGTGCTTAAGTATGGGGGGGGGCGCTGGTCCTTGTGGCTGGGGAGATGGCTTAGTTGGTAAAAGCTTGCTGAGCAAGAATGAAGTCCTCTAAGTTCTTTCCCCAGAAGCCACAAAACATTCAGACATAGCAGTATGTCTGAAATCCCAGCACTGGGTCTGGCAGGAAGACCCTGTGTCTTTTGTGTCAGTGAACTGTGAGTTCTCAGCTAGATGAGTGTGTGAGTGTTGGTGCCTAAGCATGTTTCCTAAAAGCCAGTGCTGTTCAGACTAAACTTCCCTACTATCAGTTCATTTTGGGGATGAGTAATAGGGTAATGGGATATTGATCCTTACTGTGTATTCAATGGTTTACATAATATTCACCTAATGTTTTTGTTTTTTTTTCCCCCAGATGCTGTACCCATCCCGGATTTAATGAAAAGTAAATAAATAAAAGTAGATTTGTGCTCTTGTATTTTTTTTTCACCAGAACTGTCCTAAAAGTTTTCCCTGTGTTTAAGGTAGTGGGAGTTGTCTGGTATTTTCGGGGTGCAAGGAAATTCTATGTAACGGTCAGTATTGGGCAAATGCATATGTTTAGAAGATAAGTTGTCACTGGGTGGTGGCAGTCCAACAGAGGGACTAAAGGGGAGGCAGATGAATCTCTGACTAGGCCAGCCTGGTCTGCAAGAGTGAGTTTCCGGGCAACCAAGGCTACACAAAGGAACCCTGTCTCGAAAAATAGGAAAAACAAAGTTTTGCTGGGTGAAGTGACGTACACCTTTAATGCCAGTACTCAGTTGTTTGAGGCCAGTCAGAACTGTGTAGTGAGAGCCTGCCTCAAAGTTTTATATACTTAAATGCTGGGCATGGTGGGTGAATAAATTTTGGGGAAGTAATTTCAATCTAGACTGAAGCATTGTCTCATACTAGGTCTCGGGTGGAACTTAGTGAAGCACTTGGATGTCATGGTTTGGGTGTGTGTGATGAGTTGCGGTGATGAACATACATAATTTATTGATGGGGAAAGTGCAGTACAAGGAGTTGAAGGGTCTCAGGCGGCTGGGGATTCATTTGGAATAGGTTTGAGTGGGAGGGAATATTGTGTTGGCTATTGTCACATATGTTGGGGAAAAAGCCTTTGAAAAATTGCTTTCCTTTATTTTAAAGCACAGTGCATATTTTTAAAAGAGTAAATGGGGCTGGAGAAATGGCTCAGCGGTTAAGTGCACTGACTGCTCTTCCAGAGGACCCGGGTTCAATTCCCAGCACCCACATGGCAGCTCACAACTGTCTGAAAATCCAGTTCCAGGGGACCTGACACCTTCACACCAATGCACATAAAATAAAAGATAAATCATAAAAATAAAAAAGAATAAAGGAAATTTAAAGAAAAGAGTAAGCACAGCTCTAAATACTTTTGAGGATACTTTTTGAGGATGTACAAGAAATGTACGAAGATATCTTCAACTTGTGTGGTTGTAGGTTGCTAGGAGTGGTTTTATTAGCCACTCTTTAGATTGAACTGCAAAGGGCCTCTACTATTGGACTTGAGTGTCTTGAGTCCTTCCCACACTAAGATGATTGTCCTAGGAGCTATGTTGGGGACTGACTGACTAGTTCCAGCTGAAGTTGACATTTTGCAAGTCCTAGTTGGGAGTGTGTTCTCCAAAAGAGCAGCAACTTAGAAA